ATGAATACTTTGAATTCTAATGAGCAGTAGTTCATGGTCTGTTTCTCTAACTATGTAGCTATCAACTTTTCTAGTTTCTGTATTCAGTGCTATTCTAATATAAAATAGAATGGGATTTGATAATTTATTTACTAATATAAAACGCTACTAATATAAAACTATTCTACAAGCATGAAACGGCCTGTTGGTGTCCACTTACCAGCGTTCTAGACAACTAGTGATCTTTTTGGCTGCTTTTAATTTATCAATCAATTCGCTTATAATACAGCTCTTTGGTGAATCGGTTCTTTTAGGAAGTCGATTTCCGGAATGGCATTTTCGCGATAGCTCCAGTTTTGCAGGTCAAATAGCGAGGCACAACAGCTTGAAAAAATATTATTCCTAAGGAAATTAAAAATTAATGCCATAAAAAGCGCATGCCAAAACTACCAGTACTTCTTTACATAATCATTGCAGTAGTTCTCGTTAATGAAGTGCTCCTAGGTGCCGGACCCCGCTTGCTTCCAACCAGTACTTATCTGGCTTTCTAACTAACTAACTGCGAACTCAGTTAAAAAATGCATTATATAATTTCATAAGCAAAAAAGTTCTAAGATTTAACAAATCGATGTCCTTTACCTACCGATATTATGAACTGTGCTTATTTCTTGGATGAAATTGGCTACTCTTCATTCTGCATAAACAGTGCTTAAGTTCGTCGTAGAATGAAGTGCAGTCTGCGAAGAATTTCCTGTATGGCCTTATATTGATAAGAAAGCCAATGGATAGTTCTCAATCAAAAATCATAAATCGAAACCTGTCCGTTTCCCATCAAAAGACACATCTCATGCAATTCACACAAGTTTATTCCTCGGTTTTCCTTCAGCACTGCACATATACTGTACGAGTGGCAGCGATACTTTGAGATATCAAAAATCCGTAATCATTTAACCAGATGTGCACCAGGAAGAATGACTATGTATCGTCAACAAAACTTGAGTACTTATGTATGCAATTACCGCAACCCCAAAGCTGCTCGGTAAAGCTGGTCAGCGGTCACAAGCACAGCTCTTCGAGAGCCAACTCATCATGATATTTACGGAAGCGTCAAATTTTCTGGCCTTATCTACTGAGCTGCTTCCTTCAAGAGACGAAAAGAACTTAGGAAAGTCAGAAATCTAACTAATACGCAATGCAGCACTGGTCAGAACAACCGTAAAATAAAGAAGAAAGAAAATGGCATAGTTGCTGGACACACTACTGATGAATTAGCAACTGTTTTAAGTACCGAGTGTATTAACCACCGGACAAATTAAATTACCTATCCCTAAATATTTCAGGTGAATGAAGAGGGCACGGAAGCAGTGGCGGCAACAGCGGTCCGCATGACAGAATCGGTCTCATCGCTGAAACAGGAACAATTCATCGCCAATCATCCATTTCTTTACGCCATTGCACTGCGCGGAAAAACACTGCTTTTTACTGGAAAATTTATTCCTTCATAGAAATGTTGATAGCCTTCCTCCGTGTTTGGCACATACTATCTGCAAACCAGCAATTTCGTTATCTATATTTACTCATACGCCACTGTTAAAGAAAACGCAGGCTTGCTGGTGCAATCATGCATTTTTGCAATAAACTCGCAGGTCACTAAG